ATTGGGGTCTGCTGTTCATTTTCCCAGTTCTATGCTGGGTTACTATCTGGGAGTTCCTTTGGTCACCCTGACCAACAACTCAAAAGAAGGTATTGCCTGTTTGAGAAATTTTTGTAGTCCTCAAAACCTTGGAAACAGGTTTACATGATTTTAAAAATTAGATTTGTCCATTTATCCCCTCCATACAATTTTTCAATTCAACGCTTTCATACAGTGTAACTTGATTTCCTCTGTAATGACTCTTGTGAATAAATTCTGAGTTTATGTCTTTAATTTGGAAGAGTTTTTCTCTTGGCTCCAGCTAAAGAATCAAGTCAGGTCTTGGTTATGGTCTGTGCCTGAGATCCAGCATGGTGTCTAGAAATGCAGCGTTTCCCCTAATCATCCTTGTCTCCTCTGCTCTTCCCCCACCTCTCAGTGCTGGACACTAGCATGCTGTCATCCCAAGATGTGGTGCGTATGCTGCTATCCCTGCAGCCATTTCTACAAGATGCTATCCAGAAGAAACGCACGGGCAGGACCTGGGAGAACATCCAGCATGTGCAGGGACCACTCACCTGGCAGCAGTTCCATAAGATGGCAGGACGTGGAACTTATGGTGAGCCTCAACTCTCCTTTTTGCTTCCTGGCTTCATTGATCAAATGGAATTTTTCCCTTTATTACTGTTAGGTTTTATCAAGTCTTTATCTTCCCAGCCTTCAGGGCATACTTGTCTGGTGGGCTTCTCTTCTAGTTCTGTCTCCTGCTCTGTGGTCAGTATCTCAATGCTCCTTTCTGCCTTCTGGTCTTCCTGAACCTTTATAAGCAAGAGTTCTCATTCACAGAAGGCTTTTCATCAGGGACTGTTTAATGAGATGATCGAGAGTACTATTAAGAGTACATAGTGTCAGTAGGTAGCAGATTTTAGATTCCAGAACCAAGAGTTTCTAGAATGTCTAGGCAGTGGAAATAGACTCCCATGTTCCTTCCTAAACAGCAATGTTGTTTCAGGTTCAGAAGAATCCCCTGAGCCATTGCCCATCCCCACTCTGCTGGTAGGCTGCGACAAGGACTTTCTGACCATCTCACCGTTCTCCTTGCCCTTTTGGGAGAGGCTGCTGTTGGACCCATATGGGGGCCACCGTGATGTTGCATACATTGTGGTGTGTCCAGAAAATGAGGCCTTGCTCGAAGGAGCCAAAACTTTCTTCAGGGACTTGAGTGCTGTATATGAGGTAAGAACGTTGCTGTGGGAGCATCCTTTTTATGACAGGAGTCCTCTGTTTTGGTTATGGACTGAATTTGAAAGAACAACTCTCTTCAAAGTAGATCTCAAAGAAAATTTGCAAATAGAGAATGAAGAAAAGAATTAAATTGGAAAAAAAATTTTTTCTAAATGCAAGTTACTTTCCCCTTGTGGCTTTATATTTTGTAAGATTGAAAAGACTTAGCTCTACCAGCGTTATAATTCCATCTATTTTTTCCCATTTATGAGCTCAGTTTAAAATGATTGCTCATCAAAGACAAGCACTAACTGAAGATGGGGAGGTAGTGGTGAGACTTCATGGAAGTGCTGTGAAAAATGTTTAATTTAAAAAGTCTGAATTGAAAGATAAATGTAATGAATCATGTTTCTGTTGAGTTTTTAACACTACAATTATCTTAATACTAAAATTTTGATACAGATTAAAAGCATAATAACCATAGTAATATAAAAACCAGGAAAATGGTTCTACATCTTTAGTGTATAAGTTCCTGTTAGTTCTGAAAAGCTTGGCTCATATAGATCTTTGAACAGTAAGTCTCACACATTTCCTCTCAGAAGTACACATACCAAGGTCTTTGTGCCTTGTACTTCTTGTGTTTTGACAAGATTAAATGAAATTAATATTTGGTAAAGCACTTAAACGGTGACAGGCACATTTTAAGCATTACAGAAGTCTTTTTTAAATAAGATGCCAAGCTGAATTTCAACTAATTCTAGAACAGGACAGTCACTGTCTGTAAATATCTGGGTAGACGTGGAAGAGTAGTAAGCTTAAGAGTTGCTACAGAGAACTAAGGTGATGCTAACAAGAATACAGCAGCAGCTTAGGTCTCTGAAAGAAGCCTTTGGATTCAATGACTTCCGACGATTGCCTAGCTCATGGGTGCAAAATATTGTTGGGATAATTCACCTATCATAGTTAACTTGTCTCTACCTCTTGAGTTTAGCCTTCACTATAAGTTACATAGTATCAAGGATTGCCAGATGCCTTTAGAAGGTGTGCCCCTCTTGTTTTTCTTTCTTTCTTTCTTTTTTTTTTTTTGGTCTTTTTTAGACAGGGTGTCCCTGGAACTATGTGGACCAGGCTGGCCTCGAACTCAGAGAGATCCGCCTGCCTCTGCCTCCCAAGTGCTGGGATTAAAGGCCACCATGCCCAGCTAATGTGTCTCCTGGGTCAGTAATTCCTCCCTGCTCATGAAGAGTTTTGTGGGTCAGCCTTCACCTCACCAGCTCCAGTAGTGGATGCTAATATGGGCCCTCCCACTGGTTAATAGGAAGTTTACCTTTCCTTTTTTTTTTTTTTTTTTTTTTTTCCCGGTATTTTTGAGACAGGGTCTCCTTTTAGCCCCAGCTGTCCTGGAACTCACTATGGAGACCAGGCTGGCCTAGAACTCACAAAGATCCGCCTGCTCCTGCCTCCCAAGTGCTGGGATTAAAGGTGTGCGCCACCAAGCCCAGTTAGGAAGTTTACCTTTCATAGGCGTATTATGTTAATTCTCTGCCCTAAGCACCCGTGAATGTCCTGGAGATTAGGAGAAGAATCTCATTGATCCTGAAACAAGTATTACATTTTAAAAAGTGAGATCAGCATGCACACTGCTTCAGTGTCCTCTTCTATTGGTTATCTCCAAGTGATGGTAACAGATGGTCCATAAAATCTTAACTTTACCTTATGGGAAAGCATGAGTAAGGATTTCTTAGAGGCTTTAGTGGACATATGTCCCAGTCAGCCTTAGTGAGGCTCATTGGTGATCAGGTAGTACTCAGCATCTTGTGCAGAAGAAATTTGCCTAAGTAAAGAAGCAGTTATTTTCCTTTAGAACATCTTGTCCAGATTGTGGAAGGACAGATTGCAGTTTCAGGGTACATGATGATTATCGGAAAGGGCCAGCTGCTAATAGCTAATGCTAGTTTGATTGTATGTAATAAAAGAAAAGAGGGGAATGTTTGCATGTTTCTGGTGAAGAGTCTCCTGCTAGCCCTAAGTATTGATGGAGTAGCCAATGCTGTCAGTAACTCTTCTGTTGTGGAATTAGATGTGTAGGCTTGGGCAACACAAGCCCATCTGCAAAGTGCTCCGTGATGGGATCATGTGTGTTGGGAAGACCGTGGCCCAGAAGCTGACAGAAGAGTTTGTGAGCGAATGGTTTAACCAGCCTTGGAACAGTGAGGAGAATGACAATCATTCCAGACTCAAACTTTACGCTCAAGTTTGTCGCCATCACCTAGGTAACTAGGAATGTATTTGCTAAAGTAGAATTGGAGAAAGAAACTAGCAAATCTCTCCCCACACTCCCCTGTGCATGCAGCATTCATTCTTTTGGTTTGGTCTCAAGTAATGCTAAGATTCCATTGTTGTACTTAGCGTTTTTGTGTTCTCAACACTTAAATCCTGATTTATGTGACACATAATCTTTTAAACCTGTTTAAAGTTGCTTAACAAGGTTATACTTGCCTACTTCATAGTACCTAGCAGCATTACTTGATATTAACTGCTTAAGCCTGAAGCAAACTTTGGACACTTATAAAGCCATATATATATATATATATATATATATATATATGTGTGTGTGGGACTGTAGCCTCTGAAACTGTAAGCCAAAATAAACCTCTCCTTCCTTAACTTGTTTCTGTCAGGTATTTCACCACAGTGATACGAAAATAACTAATCTATCCATACTGAGTGTTTCTTTTTTTTATGTGTGTGTGTGTGTGTGTGTGTATGTGTGTATGTATGTATGTATGTATATATCCACACCCATGCGTGTGTGGGTTTGTGTAGGTAGCATGGTACATCATGACGGATGACTGTGGAATTAAGTTCTTGGTAAAACCTGAAAGGAGAATATTACAAGTCATTAATTTTCTATCTCTTTTGGAATTAGCTTTCTGTCAAATTTGTAAGTTGCTTCCTGTGCATTTCAGCAGTGTAGACACAGTTGTTCACATTCATATGTGGTGACAGTGATTAGGTGCCACAGTCAGAGTGCCACATCCCTAAAGCATGCTGTTTTGAAGTGTTTGTTCTAAATTTTGGATCCATTCACTTTGCTGAGAATCATAAGTCTGTCTTCTTTCAGCACCTTATTTAGCCACTCTGCAGCTCGATAGCAGCCTGCTGATACCACCTAAGTTCCAGAGTCCACCAGCAGCACAGGGACAAGCTACACCTGGGAATGCTGGGTCTTTAGCTTCAAATCCAGGATCAGCAGCTCCCCCAGCAGGCAGTGCATTCAACCCCACCTCAAGCAGTAGTTCTGCCAACCCTGCAGCAAGTAGTTCCTCATCTGCTTCCTCTGGGACACCTGCCTCATCCGCTGCTTCTGCTCCGGGTATCACTCAGATGAGTACTACCTCTTCAGGATTCAGTGGTGGTGTTGGAGGGCAGAACCCCAGTACTGCAGGCAGTTCCACAGATAGAACTCCAGGAAATGTGGCCTGTGGTGGAGACACTGAGCCTGGGCAGAGTTCTACCCAGCCTTCACAGGATGGACAAGACAGGTGTGTTTTTTTCCTCACTGACCTAGAGGTGGGACTTCAGTTGGACCCCTTCCCCCAACATCATGAGTCTCAAAAATCCAAGAGTGCTCACTTTTTCTTCTAATAAAAAGTGACAAATGGGGACTGGAGAGATGGCTCAGCAGTTAAGAGCACTGACTGGTCTTGCAGAAGACCCGGGTTTGATTCCCAGCACCCACATAGTGGCTGCAAACCATCCTTAACTCTAGTTCCAGGGGAATCCAAAGCCCTCTTCTGACCTCCGCGGCATTGCACGACACAGGTGCACTCACATACATGCAGGCAATACACTCACACACACTTAAAATAAAAATAATAAATAAAATATTTTTTTAGAAAGACTGGATGATAAAAGTTGAAGAACTGGAGTGTTCAAGCAAAGAATATTAAAAAATAATCTAAAAATAAAAAACAAGAATGGAATATAAAGACAAAAGTCAGATCTATAGGTGCCTTAAGAGATACAGAACTAATAAATAACAAACTTAGCACTAAATTTATTAGCTACTTATACCACTGAAAGTAAGAGTTGAAAAAGAGGTCTACCATTTTAGAGGACTACAGATTGAGTACCCTTGTATGAAATGCTCAAGATTGGAAATGCCTGAAGACTTGAATTTTAGAATATTTGCATAGGCTCTATTAGCTGAGCACCCCTCACTCCAAAATCAGAAACTTAGATCCAGAAGTTTTGAGCATTGTGTGGGTTTTTGGTATTTGTACTGCTGTTTCCCATCCATTCTCAGAGCCTTCGGGTTTGATGCATGATACATATTGTTACATTGAATCTGAAGTTATCCAGGGAGGGAGTGTGCTCTAATTGACATATTCTGTGGAATTTATCCTTACTGTGGGGCCCTCACACTTGATTCTGTCCAGTGTTACAGAGAGAGAGAGAATAGGAATACCCACGGAGCCTGACTCTGCAGACAGCCATGCCTACCCTCCATCTGTGGTCATTTACATGGTGGACCCCTTCACCTATGCTGCAGAGGAAGACTCCACCTCCGGGAACTTCTGGCTGTTGAGCTTGATGCGCTGCTACACAGAAATGCTGGATCATTTACCTGAGCATATGAGAAACTCTTTCATTCTCCAGGTTAATGTCTGCAGGCTTATTCTTTATGCTTGTTTTGTGAGATTAGAGAGTAATGATTTTCTTTTAATGGCAATGTATGAAAGTATATAGAGAAAAGTACTCATCCACAATTCTGCCTTTTAGATTCAGTCGTTTCCATTTTAGTGTATTTCTTCTGGTTTTGTTTTGAATTTTCATAAGATCAGGATTATACTTGCAATATAACTTTGTCTTTTTCTAGTTAATGTTCCTGAATGCCTTTTCCATGTTGTCACAAGACAGGGTCTCACAGTGTAGCTGAGGCTGGCTTCCAACTTCTGATGTTCCTGTCTTGGCCTCACTAGTGCTGGGCTTAATGGGCATGTGTCATATGGCCCAACTACAAGTAAAATTTCTAATGTCTGGACTTTATGTATTTCACTACTTGTACCTGGGTAGATGTTAGCACATCCTCACTTCTTCACTGTTGTGAGTGAAGCTTAGTAAATGTGCTAATGTATGTTTAAAATCTCTGTCTCTCTGTGTTTTTCTTTCTGGTTGGTGTTTTTTGCTGTTTTTTTTTTTGTTTTGTTTTTGAGATAGGGTTTTCCTGTAGCTACAGCTGGCCCAGAACTGTAGACCAGGCTGGCCATCAATCTCACAGAGATATGCCTGTCTCTGACTCCTGAGTGCTGGGACTAAAGGTGGCTCATTCAAATTATTTTTAAAGTGGATATTGATAAAATGCCACTTTTAACAGTGAATGGGCATGCTTATTTTACTTGTACCTTTGCTAGCTTTATAATGAAATGATTTTTTAAATGTTTCGTATAGGTGAAAAATGGTGCTTGATCTTATCACTTTATTGAAAACTAGCTGGTAGAATGAAAAGATTGAAGTTAAGGTAAACAGATGAGATTGTTGATAATTTTCCATTATCTTAAAAGTCTGTGTCCTATAAGATTTGATTATAACTGCTACATGGTATGTAAATACATTTTATACATGGAGCATACATTAAAATGCAAGTTTTAAAATAGGAGCAGTATAGCAGCAGTAAATTGAGAATTTATACTTAAAATGAGAAGGGCAGTTTTCAAGTGAAAGCATAACTGGATCCCTGCACGATGCTACTGTCCCTTCTTAAATTGTTAGTGGAGATGTGAGACAGGATTGTATTTCACTGAAGGAATTAGGATTTCATTATATTATATTTGGCATTTACTTGTTGTATTACTCCATTAATAGATCCATGCTATCCTCTTGTCCAGTGTCTTTGTTTGTAGGTTTAACTTACTGTTGCTTGTCCTTAGATTGTGCCTTGCCAGTACATGCTGCAGACAATGAAGGATGAGCAAGTTTTCTACATTCAATACTTGAAGTCCATGGCATTTTCGGTATACTGCCAATGCAGGCGGCCTCTGCCTACACAGATCCACATTAAATCTCTCACGGGATTTGGGCCAGCAGCCAGCATTGAGATGACCCTCAAGAACCCAGAGGTGAGTTTTAGAGGGTGGAAACTCGTGAGGAGAATGCTCTTACCAGATCATGTCTTACCCAACTTCTTGACTTGGTCTTCTGCTTTATGTAAGAGTTGCTAGTTTTCTTTAATCTTTGAATTGAAGAAGAAAAAATACTTCTCTGTACATATAAACTTTTTGAGGAAAGAGGGGCTGGAGAAATGCCTTGGCAGAAGAGCACTTGCTGTGCTTGCACAGGTTTCAGGGGATCCGACACCCCCTTCTGGCCCCTGCAGCATTGCACGCACATGGTGCACTTTACGTACATGTAGACAAAACACTCATGAACATAAATACCATTTTAAATAAAATCAAAGAAAAATTTTTTGAGAAAAGGGACAGATAATCTCCTCTTTTTGAGGTAGGCCCTAAGGCAAGAATATATTTATTACTCTTAGTAATTGATTTCCAACATTGTTTTGTTCTTTTTCTGCCTAATCTGTGTCTTAAAGTACAGCCTCTCTACCTTCCCCTGTCTGAGTTTTGTGCTGAGAAAGCAATGTGGTTTTTGTGTCTGCTGCATGAGGCACCTTGCATTCTGATGCAGTCTTTCCCTGCAGGTCACTTTCTTGCTGTGTAGAAACAAATGCTTTTTCTTCATCTTTTTGGTTCTGTTTTCTACAGCGAATGCACCCCAAAGGGAATTTTAAACCTCCAAAGCTAGACATGTCTTAGACAAAACCTCCCTTGTTTTTCTAATCACCTTGTCTTGGAGATAGGTATACAGGGAAGTATTTAGAATTTTCACAACCTTTGAAAACCGGTACCCACTGAACACTTCTTCAACTTAAGAGTGCTTTTCAAAAACACCAGCCACTATGGATTCTAGCTGGTAATGTTATTTATAAGGAGAAGCTTGGAAATGGAAAGTGACACAGTAGTTAATCCTGTATTTGTTGTAATGTGGTTTGGGTTAGCCTAGTCTCTAGGGAGAAAGCTGCTCAGCTGATGACCTAGTTTCACTCCACTGTTAAATATAGTTTCTATTTTTGGCATTTTTAGTTTCATGTTTTCTTTGGAGTTTAAAATTTTCACTTTGGTGAGCAGTTTACTTTCTGGAGTTAGAAAAATAAATTGCTCTTCACTGTTACTTACTTTGCTGCCAAAAATCATGAATTATTGCCTTTTTTTATAAACAGAATTTTTTCAGGCACAGCCATTGCTTCATATGTCGGTGAGAGGTGATCATAATGTGAAGTAATGACTGAGAGAGTATTGTCTATTTCCTTAGTGGAGAGTAAAGGCTGCTACTAAGACATACCTCAAAGCTTAGAGAACATCCTTAAGGTGTTTAGTATGCTGGCAGAATACCACCAGAGTTGATGAGATAGAGTGAAGGTTAGATGAAAATAAATACAAAAACACTTCAAGTGATAACCCTATCCCATTGCTTATAAGTCATTTTACTTTACTAAAAACTGAAAAAACAAATGTTGTACATATTTGCTGAGGTTTTAAAATCTTCATCTGCACAAAGGTAATTGTTAGTATTGCCCCTGCCTCTGTGTACAGCTGGAACAGTGAGCTTTCACTCTGTAAATGCAGGTGAGCACCTGCCCTGTACTAGGTGCTGTTCAGTCTTGGAGATGCAGGGGTGGACAGATAGTTGGGTCCCTGGTCCCATGGAATTGTAACCATGGAGTTACAAAAATTAGAGTGGGACATAATCACATGTATATACATTATCACATAAGGAAAAAGGGGTTTAGGCGTTGGTCATTCACATTTATAAGAAAATCTTTCACTAGTATCACTTTTGTCTTTCATGGGATGCTGAGCATCACAAAACATAGTTTGAGAGGATTTTGGACCTCAACATAAAAGAAAGGATAAATGTTTGAGGTGGTGGATATACCAATTACCCTGCTCTAAACATGGCATATTGTATATGTATTAGGATATCCCATGTTATGACAAATATATACAATTAATGTTTCTTAATTAAAATTAAGACATATTTGTTGTTGTTGAGACAGGGTCTCACTTTGTAGCTCCAGCTGGCCTGGAACTTGCTGTGTTAACCAGGCTGGCCTTGAACTCACAGAGATTTGCCTCCCTAGAGCTGGGATTAAAGGTGCTCACTACCACACCTGGCAAAACATACATTTACAAAAACAGTCTGGCAGTGGTATATCATCTGATTTGTCACAGAGGGTCTGTTACTATATCAAAAATAGTTGACATTCAGGCTGATGAGATAGCTCAGCAGGCAAAGGGGCTTGTTGTCAAGCCTGAAGACTTTTTAATCCTGGGGCCCACATTGTAAAAGGAGAGAACTGACTCCTACAAGATGTCCTCTGACCTCCACATGTGTACAGTGGCCCACATGGATATACACGCCCAGATAGATAGATAGATAGATAGATAGATAGATAGATAGATAGATAGATAGATAGATAGATAGATAGATAGATAGATAGATAGATAGATAGATAGATAGATAGATAGATAGATAGATAGATAGATAGATAGATAGATAGATAGATAGATAGATAGATAGATAGATAGATAGATAGATAGATAGATAGATAGATAGATAGATAGATAGATAGATAGATAGATAGATAGATAGATAGATAGATAGATAGATAGATAGATAGATAGATAGATAGATAGATAGATAGATAGATAGATAGATAGATAGATAGATAGATAGA